TCCGGTGAGGGTGCGAGCCTCAGACGGTGATGCGGCGGCATCTTCCTGCAGTAGAAGAGATGTTTTGGCTCTTTGGGGCGTCCGCATGAGCAGGTGGGTCGCGCATTGGCATGTTTGAATCGCCTGTGGTAGTCGGCGAAATCTCCATGGTGTGTCCGTGCCGCCAGCAAGTGGTGCAGGGCTGGACGTGGGGTTGCAAGGTCCGGGGCGCAGCGCGTTGATGCCTTGAGTTTCAGAGGTTTGTATCTCTCGGGAGCTGCAGTTGTCCACCAGGCGTCGAATGCTTCCCTTGGCTGTTTCCTTGCGACTCGTCGCAGGTGCACCAATGTTGGGAGAGCATCCGGCGGCGCTGGTCGGGAACATCCTGCCTTGGCCAGTGCGTCGGCCTGTTCGTTCCCCGCGATATTGGTGTGGCCGGGAATCCAGCGAACTGTTGTGTTGCCGTGGGCTAAAGCCATGTCCTGGAACTCCAGGAAGGCTGCTTGCGAGGAGTCGGACGACGTGCCTCGCAGGCCTGTCGCAGCTGCCAAGTTGTCGAGGCAGACGACGATCTCGTTTGCCGTTGCCTGAGGGTGGCCGACGGCTGCCCAGAGACCTTCTAGAGCTCCGTTCGCCGCGGCGTCGAAGACCTCTGCCGGGCCCAGTCGGCCGGAGCCATCGAGCACCGGCCGGTTGTTCTGGTGGATGATATACCCGTATCCAGCGACGCCCTCTGAGGACAGTGACCATCTGAGTACACAATCAGAGTCGCCGGTGGCACCGACTGCAGCCATTGACGGAAGTCGGCTGCGGACTTCTTCTGATGCTGTTTGAAGCATCGTGCTGTCGTCGCTGAACCGTGGTCTGATTAGGGCTGGTCGCGGGCATGAGGGCAGCAGCCTATCAGTCCTCCGGAGACGGGTTGGGAAGACGGCGGGTGGCACTTGGTGCTTGCGTTTGACGGCTTTGATGATTGCGGGTGCTGCTGGTGAGAGCGTCCTCCTGGCAAGTGGATGGGCGTCGTCAAGCGCCTTGAGGCGGGAGGAGAATCGGATCCTGCGCGCTTCAGGCAGCAGAGTGGCAGGGGGTATGCCGCTCTCCCTGTGCAGGGTCGTGGGTGGCGTGGTCCTCCAGGGAGAATGACTGTCAAATAGTCTTTTTCATCCTATGAATTAGGTGCTTCTACAGATGGCTGAGACCAGCGGGGCCAGGATGTGCCTGGGTACCACGCCTCAGCTCCATACAGCAGCACTGGCTGGGCTCTTTGGACGGCGCTGGGGAGCGGGTCGTGTTTTGTGTTTCCGAGTCCTTAAGATGGTAGGCCACGGCTTGCGCCTTAGCCGTCCATTTCTCGACGTGAGTCTTGAAGGTTAGCTTCCGGTCAAGCCAGATGCCTAGCCATCGCATCGCAGGCTCGGGACGCTTCTCGACGGTGCCGTGATAGACGGGTGGTGCCGTTTCTGGCTTTCTTGGCGAGGGAGAAAAGTGCATGACCTTGGTCTTCTCAGGATCAAAGGAGACGCCATTCTCTGCGCCCCTGGCGATGAGCTCCGCAGCTTGTTCCGATGCCTCCGCTGCTGTTTCCTCCAGCGAGTTGCCAGTGCAGAGGATGGCCGTGTCGTCCGCATATCCAAAGCGGCCCATAGGATTGCCTAGGCAATAGAGGGGCTCTGTGTAAAGGAGGAACAAGATCGGCGAGACGGGCGAGCCTTGCGGCAAGCTACATTGTAGGGGCAGGACGGGAGTGGTGGTGTCCTGGTATCTTACACAGGCAGATCTATCGTGCATGAAAAAAGCGACACATCTGACTAGATGTTCCCGCCAGCCTTGTTCCCGCAGCCGCAGGATAAGTCTGTTGCGCAAGACCGTGTCAAAGGCCCCCTGGATGTTCATGGTTACCAGAGTCGCCACCAGCTTCCAGGCGAACGCCTTTTCAATGTCATATATCAAGGCTGTAACCAGGTCGACGGCTGATCGCTTTGGAAGGGCTCCGGCCTGCTGGAGGTGCAGCACGCCGTGGTGGATTGCAGCCCACGCGAGACGTCGTGCAATCAATCGTTCTAGTCCCCTGCCGAGGCAGGAGAGCAGTGATATGGGGCGCCAGGCCCGTGGAATCGATAGGTTTCCCCGCCCAGGTTTTGCGATCATGACGACCTCTGCCTCTTGGAAGGGTTTCGGGTGGTGGCCAACGCGGAGGCATCCCTCATAGAGTCGACGGATGTGTGTTCCAGTGACATCCCACACGGCCTCGAGGAGCTTCACTGTGATGTTATCAGACCCGGGGGAGGTGTTGCCGGTGCCGATGGTGGCGGCCCGGGCTTCCTCCAGCGGGATTGTCTGAGCGAAGGGTATCGATCTCTGAGGGACTGAGGGGTTTCAAGGGTCGGGTAGGTCGTCTGTTGCGGTTCGGCGTTCAAGAGTAGCCTGACGAAGCGCGTTCGCCTTGTCGGCCTGTGTCTTATGCACAACATCTCCGACTTGTAGGGGTGGAGGTTGGAAGGTCCCTGGGGCTCTGAGCCATCGCACTGCTTTGAAGACTGAGCTGCTGTTGGTGAAGCTGTCGATGAGTTCGCGCCAGTACTGTCTCTTGGCCCGACGGACCACATGGCGGACGTCTCGTTTGGCGAGTTGCACATCTTTATTTTACCCACCAGGATAGAGTCTCCTGATGGCTCGATGGCCTGCTGCGGCTTGCGCGCATTCTTCAGTCCACCACGGTGCGCTGCAAGTTCCCTTCCGTATGGGGCGCCCGGCCGCCTTCGCAGCAGACTGTAAAAGGTCCACCAGGGCCTCTACGAGGGGGTCGAGGTGGCGGTTGGCAGCCCCGACGCTCTAGCATCGACGTGCTCCTTAAAACGTTTCACTCATCATCTGTTGTAAGGCGTACTTTACCGGACTGTTTCAGGACCGGCGAGAAGTTTGATAGTGTAAGGCTTAGCGTGAAGTGGTCGGAGGTGGTCGCAAAGTCGTCCTCGACGCAAGCCTCAGCTAGGGGGCGTTGGTGGAAGCCAAGTCGATGGTGTTGCCGTATGGGTTGGTCGGGATGTCCACCTCGTTCAGCAAGCTGAGGCCATTGTCCGTTGCCCAGCTTGCAATGTCCTGGCCCGTGCCAGAGGGGCGGCCGGTCTGCCAGCTGTAGTGCCTAGCGTTGAAGTCGCCGGCTACCAGGCAGTCTTTCGGTGGTTGCCACTGCAAAAGCATGTTCAGGGCTACGTCACAGTCGGGCCTCCGGTATACGTTGACTATGGTCACGTTGTTGACCGTGAGCCATAGAATATCGCGTGTTATATACGGTTGTTGTTGGTTTGTTATTAGCCTAGAGTCACGACGAACATATGCCATGACTCTGGGTCGTATGGTGGTGTTGTCCCAGTTGGACACCGGTGAAAAGGTGTCGTAGGCTGGGTGGGTTTTCGTGAGACAGCAGCCGTCCTTTGTCTCCGTCCACGGTTCCTGTAAAAGGACCACGTCGTATTCTTCGAAATCTGCAAGCGCGAGGGCGCAATCGTGGGCTGGGGGAATTTTGCCTACATTGGCCTGGAATATGCGGGGTCTTTCTGTCGCTTTTCCGCTGTCGGTAATGTCTGCTCATGGGGATATCATGATGGATTGGCGCGGTCGCTTCCTTGGTGAAGCAGGCCTGTAATCGGACTCATCCTCCGCTTCCGGTGTTGAGGGGGGCAGAGCGGATGGGGCAGCGAGGCCGAGAGGAGCTGGGGTAGGTTCCTTCTGCGGTTCATCTGTCTGGCGCTGCTGCTGAGTCGTGTTATGTTGGATTTGTTCTGTTCTATGTTGTTGCTGTGGGTTTTGCTGGCGGTGGAGTTGCAGTCCGACCTTGCGGACTAGCCCCTTCTATTCTTTTATGAGTCAGTGTAGCATGCCGTGTACTCTTTTGGGGCGTGCTGGGCATTTGGGAAGATCTGCTGGGTGGCCAAGCTTGCCACATCGGAGACGGTCTTCTTTAGGTGGGGCCGTGGTGGTTGGTTGTCCCTGGTGACGCGGGGTGGGTTGCTGTTGTGGTCGAGATTGCTTGGGAGGAGGAGCCCGTGAGAATAGGGAGGGCGGGAAACCTTCATGGCAGGCCGTGACGCTGCTGTAGATATGAATAGGGGCGGGCTTGGCGTCGCCAAGGGATTGATACCAGTATTTCAGGAAGCTGTTGCAGAAGTGTTGGGCAAGGTTTCGCTCTTGTTCGGATGTAAACTGTTTTGCGGTCTCTTCGAATGACTTGCAGAAGGCGCTGAATACCGTTAGCTTGGCGTTATATGCTTCCACTTTCTGGCGCGCGAGCAGGTTCGCGGATTCTAGGATTGGGATTGGCTGGTGTTAGTTACATGGGTGAGGAGAACTCGGGGAAGTCTAGGAGGATAACCTGTTGAGCTCCTTCCGCGGCTCTGGCAAAAGAAACGGCCTTTAGTGGCGAGGACGGCGTGCAGGTTGCACGGCTGGTTCCTAGAGAGCCAATTGGACGATTCACAACGGCGAGACTGTTCGGAGGAGGGCTGCACGTGCCCCTCGAGCAAGGTCGGTTGGGGTGTGAATTCCCAGATCATACGGAACTGGAATGCCGTGCGGACTAGTTGGTGGTGGCCATTGCCATTGCCGCCGCAGAGGGCTGCGCAGAAGCGTGAGAAAAATGGTTTTGATCTCAGTTGTTAAGGGGATCAGTATAAATTTAGCGTACTTTCTTAACCAAAACATGCCAAGAAAGTAAAAATACAGGGGGAGGTGTTGTGATTTCCAGCTGTGACCGCGCCAGATGGCATGGGGTAATGTGGACTGGAGACGTGGTCAAAGCTGCAGCTACACCAATTGTCGTCTTCAACGTGAGGCAAAGGAGGAGGGGAGAGTTCTGGGAGATGCATTTTGGGAAGTAGTCCGTCTCGGGTTCTTAAAGAGGACGCAAATGGTACTTAGAAGATGAGAAATGACAGGAAGGAGTACAGAGCAGTACAAAGCTTATATACCTAAATACGGGTGGGTGCGTTCCAACAGCTTGCCCTCCTTCGACGTCGTCCCTTCCAGGCACACAAGTCTGG